GCGTCCAGAACATGCAGACTCTCCTGGACAAGATGGCTGCGGCTCGCCCCAAAGCCCCACCGCCGGCCTTTCCGGCACCTGACATCCCGGCGACTGAATCCGCCGGGCCCCCGCCCCACCAGCCTCCGGGGAGTTGGCACACCCCGTCCCAGCTACCAGGCTCTACACCCGCCAACCCCTCACCGGCTCCGCAAGGGCTTCCCCTCACCACGCCACCGGCATACATCCCCTCCATCGGAGCAACGATCCAAGCGACACCCGGTGCCCCCCAGGGAGTGCCAGCTGGAGCCAATGTGATTAACTTGAGCCCTCCCGCGCAGCAGGACACTGTCACTGTGTGGATGGAAGGCCGTGCCTTTCAGATCCCGACAACAATGGTCAGGGGGATCAATTGAAAGTGGTAGATTTTTGCACTGCTTTTTGCGGCCCTGGCCTTTGGCCCCGCCCCTTGTAGCATATGTACTGCCTGGTCACTGCATGCACCCCCTGAAAGAGACTGCTTTGCCATTGTCAGAGTGTGTGTGTCAGAACGTGAAAAACTCCATGCCCCGGCGCTGAGGATACCAGGGAACATGCTGCAGCTTTTTCCAGACTGAACCTTACATACTAGCATGTTTCCGTAGTATCACCCCCACTGTCTCTGCACTGCTTGCACTGCTTTTTGGGCCCTCCTTTCCTGCCCTTCTTCTCTTCTCTTTTTTCCCCCGCTGTGTGTCTGCTGCTCCACACCTTGTCGTCTGTCTGTCGATGATTCACTTGATGGATGATGAAAATGACCACCGGACGACGACGACAGCAGAGGGTATATCCCCTCCAAGACTGCATCCTGGTGGGTGCGAGACCGCGAGGAGCCTGATAGTTCTAGAACCCTAACCCCCCTCGCCATGGCAAGCAGCGACAGCTACCTGAGTTTCTTCTAACAACACTGCGGGAGATTATACCCTCACAGTTTTGGATATTCGCTGGCCGCAAGCGTGCTGCCTCTGTATAGGCCCCGCAGAAAACCAGGAGGATGCCTGGCCTCTGAACAGGCCTCGCTGTTACGACAGCACGAGTGGACTGCGACAACCGGCCCTGGAGCAGTTTGCTTTTTACAGTTGCGTGGACGGCGACAACCAATATCTGCCCCGGGGCTGGCTTTGGGCTGACTGGTGTGCTGCCTCTGCATAGGCCCCGCCACTGCTCATTTCACTGGCGAGCCACGTCTTTTTGTGGATTTTTCTGGCGAGCCGCGTCTTTTTGGCTTTGGGAGACCTGTGACGTGTGAGATGCGTACGGTTACATGGAGCCTTGCTACAAGACGCTACAGAAACACGGGCTAGTTTTGCGCAGGATACGGACATGCACGCCCCAGGCGCAGAAGACAGACCGCAGCAAAACCTGATTTTTAGTTTGGCCTGCTCGGAGCTGAGATGCATGGGAGTGCAATGGAGATCTGCTTGGTTAGCAGAATATGCCTGCCCGTTACGCGGACCGACCTCGTGTATGTCTGCATTCTGGAGCTCGTGTATACCACCCTGCAACATGGGGGGTGTCTACACTGGGCGTGCCTACACAGGACCCCTCGGTGCATTGAGGTGTACATTGCTCTGTAATGAAGTCAGCTTGTGGCTTCCTTGACTTTAGGTTCGGAACTGGAAGTTGATGACAGAGAGTGTGTGCTCAGCTGACACAGTGCATTTAACTGCTACCTCGGCTGGCCCCTTGCTGGACATGGTTGCTGGCCGTATGCCACACCGACGGGTGACGACGGATTCGACGGGATTGAGTGGCTGGAAAACAATGCCATCAGCGATCGAACTCTGTGGTTTGGGTTGAGTGGAGGTTGCTTCCAGGCCCGCCACCCGCAGCTGGATTCGTGTGCTGGTCCCGTGCATTTTGACTGCAACATGGCCGGAGTGCCAGATGCTTGTGGCTAGCACCAGACCTGGGATGGAGACTCAGGTAATGGAGAGTGGGGTTGTCTCGGAAAGTTGCTCGACAAAGAAGGAACAGTGTACTGAGTTTTGAGGGCCGGTGAAATCTACTGGCCGAGTTCCTGAGGATCGTGAAGATCCATGCTGCTCCGTGCGTAGAGCGCTGAGCTGTCTTTAGTTGTCTTGTCTGCCCGGTACCTCGCCTGACTCGTCGAGTGCGAGTGCTAAAAATGTATGTATGTATGTATGTATGTACGTGTGTATGTGTGTATGTGTGTATGTCTGTATGTGTATGTGTATATGCATATGCATATGTATATGTTGTATGTATATGTATATGTATATGTGTATGTATGTACGTACGCGTCTCTGTGTGTGCACGTATGTATGCATGCATGTGCGCCTGTATGTATGCATGCATGTATGCATGTATGTATGTGTATGCATGTAAGTCATGTAAATGTCATACACTCTACTCTACTGTAATGTGCTGTAGTGTTGTGTAATGTATTCCAGGCATTGTAGGTATACTATGTATGTAATGCAAGTTAATGTATGTATGCTGTTTATGTATGTATGCATGCCTGTACGGATGGATGGATGGAGTTCGGTCAGTCGGTAGGCAGGTAGGTAAGCAGGTAGGAAGGTACCTGTGCAAATAGCAACAAACAACAAATACTGGCCAGTACTTGCTCGAATAGCTTAGCAGTAGAAAGCAGGACTCCCCGGACGATGTCATAAAAAGGAAGCTCCCTGTGCCACCGCTCCTGAGATTTGAGCTGTCAAGGCCATCATGGCCTTTGCGCCGTCCATGGACAGCCTGAAAATCAGAACCATCTTCCAAGCCTGGACCTGGGTGGCCTCCGCAGACAAGGTCGCTTGTCCTGGAGCAGTTGAGCGCAAGTGAAACTTTTTGTTGTGAGCTTGCCTGCATGCCAACACAACCCAAGCATTTCTGATGGCAAGGTTATAAGGTGAAGACTCAAGCTTCGGGTGTCTCCAGGTCCAAGATAAGCCATAATGCAAATTGTGTGTTGCAGCGAGGGGTTGGATGATCATGAATTTGCTGAGAATCTCAGGTGCGTGGTCTTACACGCGTCTCGGCTGAGATTGGAACGTCTCGGGGGGCACCTCCTTTTTTGCAGGAGCCGTGCATCAAAGCCAGACTGCTTATCATGCTTGGCCTGTAGCGAATGGTGGGTGAAGGCCGCTCCGAAGGTTAGCCATCAGTTGCCGAAGCCTGATGTCATCACACCTGCAAACTAAGCGTCTGTCGCAGCAACTCGTGGAAGCCTTTCGGAGACTCGTCGCATCGTCGACCGAGCAGTCTTGATGCGCATCTCATAGTCATCTTCCTGAATCCTTATAATGAATATGTTCCACTGCATTGGCTGCTGCTGCTGCCCGTTACGACACAAAAACCCTGTTGTGGTGCAGAGGGCTCGCTACATGAGTGAAGCTCATCCTTCGAGGCAGACTCCACCGCGACACAAAGGTCGAGAAGGCGCTCATGTTCATGGCTTCCGAGCACGAGGCTGTTGCTGGGACTGCAAGAGGGATTTGAAAGCTGTAAGTTATTTCTCCCGCCAGCTTCCAGAATTCTGTGTTGAATTCCGAAAGCCACGAGAGCCAGACATTCGTGCAGACGGACACTATATACTCTTCTTCAGTATACTTGGTGAGGTTTTGGACCATGTGCTTTCAGTTGGCTTTTGAGGCTCGTGTCGCTAGGATGTCTTTGTCGGTTTGCATGACTGAGCCGTGTCTTCGCAGAGTTCGTGCCGAGATGAAGCTGACCTGAGGTGACACAGCTTTGCATCTTCCGCCGCTGGGTAAGCCAAGTCGAAAGCCCTTCGGACGGAGATATGTGTGGACAGAAGCATCATGTAGCCTGAGGGTCCAGGAACTCATTGCGATTCGCTTGCTGGCGCATGAGCGAAGGGGGGTGACGAATCAGTCTACCCCAGGCCCAAAAAAGTAGAACCCGAAGGCGCCGAGCTCGCCGCCGCCTGTTTGTGAAACCCGAAACCTTAAACCCTACGTCCAAAGTGGACCATGAGCCACCCTTGAGGGTTGAAGACGCTTCGCATTGCTTGGCAGTCATCACAAGGCCTTAAAAAAAAACCTAAGTCGAGCGCCGAAGAATCCTAAAGCTCAACCCGAAACCCTCAGCAGTTTGACTTAAGCCCAGGTTTGAAGGCCAGGATACTGACAGCCAAGCTCAAGGCCTCCGGCACCTCCGGGGAGGCCCAGGGCTCACGCGCCGGGTGAGTTGAAATGCAGGGAGGCAAGAGGACAAAGACGATGCTGATGCTGATGCTGATGCTGCGATGATGAGGATGACGATGATGCCGATGCTGATGGTGGGAGGATGAGGATGATGGTGATGATGAGGATGACGATGATGACGATGAGTCTGATGATGATGATGATGATGATGATGATGATGATGATGGCTCATGACAGCAACGGTGACGATGGTTCGGATGCCGGTGCCGATTCTAATGCTGCTATTGGTGATCGTGATTGCGAACAAGAGGCAGATGGCGACCACGATGATAGTGAAGATAAGTTAATGTTCGTGATGTTGCGGCCATGCTCTTGATTATGATGGACGACGGAGTCGAGCGAATGCCGGTCATTTCGGACACCACCACCTTGTCTCTATACGTCTCTATCAAGAATGCCGCCCATCGCCGCAGCCACAGCAGCAACAATCACCACCATTGTCATCGTCTGGGTTTCAACCATAGAGCCGAGACAAGCCCGTGGATTTATGCAACATGTCACAGCCGCCGCCAGTGAAAGTGGGACATCTTGAGAACGCTATGTGGAGGCTAGAATTTCGGCTGCCGCGTACAGTAACAGGTGAGCGTGGGTGGGTAGATATGGCATTGCGGTGGAGCAGGAGACGGCTTTCGAGTCAAGGTCCAAGGTTGTTGCAGGCTTTCCTGTGACTTTGGGCCAGCGGCTTGTCCTGGTGACGTGGTCCAAGCATGCCTGTGAATGATGAATGCCAAACACACGTGGTCCACAAGTGGCGTAAGGATCACTCTTTTTGAATCTCCACAGGTCATTTCTGCTATGACGCACTTCGCTAACGATCAGCCGGTACTGATGCTGCAGTGGGTGCTGTTGGGCTGGCACAGCCCCTCGCCGTTGAGGGTTTAGAGTCCTACTGGAGTGGTTTCTTGAGGTTCGACTCCCCAAAGCCAGGCCAATCCCCAGACCAGGAGACGTCCGGAAGATCAAAGCTTAGTGTGTCAAAGCCCTCAACCCGAGAGTTGAACACCCTAAATCCCAAAATGGGCCAAGAAACGTTAGCTCTAGGCCCGACTTAAAAGCCCCAACCCGAGATGTACCGAGGATACATTTTCCTCCAGAACCTCCGAAGGGACGAGGACCCATCGAAACGCCAAGCGATCGCCTACTGCATCTCTGCCTTTACTTTTGCCTCGCCACGCGACCGCAGCCTTAAGGCTTGTGTTGAGCCTGCCGGATCGAGGTTGTCTGGATGAGAGAGAGAGAGAGAGAGTCAGCATTTTACATGTTTATGTCATCTGTCTTTACATATTGCTGGAAGAATTCTACGAATTTCCTGAGCCCGAATCCAAAACATGAGTAGGAAAAAACTACTTTCAGGGCTTCTTTGAGCCATCAGTCAGAGCACTTTTCGCCCTCGCCCTCGCTTGGACGCGAACCCTAAACCGCATCCCAAATCGACAAAGGAGCCTTCGAATCCATCCGAAGCCTAAAACCCCTAATTAGCCTAGAAGCGCTACATAGGGTTCCAAAAACCTTGTCTACAGTCCAATCCTCCGATAAGAGCCCTAAATTGAGGCTTGTGCTCTCCCTAAACCCAAGAGCTTTAAAACCCGAATTCCAAACTTTTTGCCGCAAACCCTTCGAAGAGCCCCTCTGGTCTTCCTTATACCAAAACCAGTAATTAGCCCCCCCCCGCCCCCCATTAACATGGTCGACGAAGGCGTGGCCTCGCCTTCGGGATGTGGAAGAAGATCGTCCAAAAGAGGAGATTTCAGAGAGGCCGGGGCTTCCCTTGCGTCTATTTCTGGAGGGGTTTGGAGTCTAGGGGAAGGGGGGTTTATAGAGGACATGGGGCGTAGGGTTTAGGGCAAGCTTTTTTGAGCCCCAAGTGCAAAAAGCGAGAAGCAGGCTGGGTTCGCTTCTTCCGTCCCACGGAGGCAGCCTGGCGGATATGTTGGCACCTGGAGCACTGTGTCGAATTTAGCTCTCATTATAGTCTTCGTCCAGTATGGTATTCTGGACGATATCTGGGGTCACATGAAGCTGTCTGTTCTGGCACTCAACTAGCGTCGCGAGCGCGATCGCATGTTTCGGGCCATCAGGCTTCATACCTTGGGGTTTGAGTGGCCTTAGGGCAGGGACTGCAGCACGCTGCCAAGCTGCACACGCTCCCATCACAGAGCCAGCAGGTTGCTCTGAGGGAATGTGCCTCTGAGAATATCTGGTATCCGTGAGATATCAAGACACATAGGAAGTGTGGCAGCAAGGTATCTGCACACTCCATTGGAGAGACGGTGCAAGCGGCTGAGGATCTGCTGCCCCTTTTCCGTTCTTGGCGTCTTCAAGTTGCGCGAGCAGAGGCCGTGAAATCTGAGCACGGCGACCCGAGAATGAGAGATCATCTGCCGGTAGTGACATACAAAATTCAAACTTCAGCCATACTCAGAACCGCTGTCATAGTCTTACGAGTGGGCATGGTCGGGAGAGCAGGCATAAGGGCAAGTGTATGGCTGATAACCAGGAGAGATCAGAGCCATGACGTGATGATGATTGATGATGATACACACCTAGGTAGATCAACATTCTACATGTTGTATGTAGCATGTATTCTGCATGCCTTGTGTCACCTTGCTGCAGCTTCTTCAGGGCCCTACGGGATGATGCGGGATAAGCTTCAGATCTTTCACGCAGGAGGGCTGCTGCATCTTCCGATTCAGAACCCATTGGTAGCTGCTGTTGGATGATACGCATCGATTTCAAGAGTTGCTTCGGGAGGGTGGGGGTTGAATTTCCGTTTCTGCCCTCCAGGCTTGCCAGAGGACGCAGATCAGAGTGGAGAAGTGCCTTGGCGTGGCCTCCCTCGGAACCCATTCACAAGCAATGCACGTGAAGCTCGCACTGGACGAGCTTCGGGCTTGCTAGAATTGGTAGAAAGCCGGCCACCCTTGCATTCTCAAGCCTTCTCAAGTTCGGGTTCTCAACATGGTTTCTCCTCTTGTGCCAGGCGGGAGTACCAGAATACCTTCCTTGTCACCATGCTGTGCTTCATTCTGTGGACCCTCGGCTGTACTGCTGCGATGCCTAGACTTAACATGCAAACATAATATTGGTGTTTGTGCTGCATGTTTCGCGTAGCATTGGTTACAGCATGTTCGTCTAGGACGCAGCAGATTGCAGTCACATGGTGACGATGACCAATGACCACGCACGTGCTGGCAGCCACAGATCTAGTCAGCAGAGATTGGCAAAGGAGGGGCATCACGGAAAACCTCCCTGCAGAGCCAATCTGGCTTCGGACTCCATAACACACTGCTTCTTCTGCGAAAAAGTAGCTTCCGGCAGGAATCCTGAGTAAAGAGCAACTAACAACATGTTCGGTCATATTGAGGTTGCGCCACATTACCGCTGTTTCATCGAAAAGACCTCGATGCACCTAAGGCGCTTGAAGCTCCGGCCGGTATCTCAGGAGATGAAGGGGTAGGGATCGATACGGTTCTTTGGGTCTCTACAAGGGATATATACAGGTTTCTGAAGGTTGCAGCGCTTTCAGTGGTTTCGGGTCGATGGAACCTGAGACTGGTTGCATCGTCCTTTGTGTGGTAGTTGAAGCCTTCAAAACCCAAAGACGGCGGCCTCGCTTCCGGGTGCAGATTGTTTTGGGAAAGCTTAAAGGTCACCGAAGGACCACTTCAAGCATGCCGGAGCGTTTTGCGACTTGACAATGTCACGGCACACCTCAGGTACGTGAGCTGGGAGACTTGAAACCATGATACCACCGAGGCCCTCTGCCGCCGTGGTGAGCTACGTCCCCAAGCTGGCACTTCGACAGCAGATTCGTTCTTTGTAAGCTTCAACTTCAGGGTGGCCTCGTAATCTGTAGCATCGTTACGAGGCCGGCCGAGAGTCCCAAACCCCAAAATTGGAGGTCTTTGATTGCTGTCTAAGGCAAGATGCAAGGAAGTGGCGCTTCGAAAGCTGGGGGAGCTTCAGGCGGGTGGCTGTGCTTTGGCTCTTCATGTCTCGGTCATTCGGACATTGTGGGTTCAGAGTTTGACTCCTAAGTTCGCTGAAGGGTTGAGTTCCAGCCCTTTCGAACAACTCCCCACAAGACCTTGTATAGTGTCTTTGCTTTGCTTTGGCTATTTCGGTTTGCTGGTTGTCCAATCCGCAGTTTGTCAGAGACAGCTTGGTGACCCTTCATTTCCGGATGCCAGCTCGTATCTACGACGCCGGCTTCAAGTGGCTTTCGGGACGTGGCAATCGTAGCAATCGAGGAGTGATTTCTTAATCGAGTTTGCATGGTGCCTCCTGGGAAAGTGGGCGGGCGCGAGGCATTTCACGTGATACGCACCTCACCCAATGCCGCCCGTGTAAGTTTTGTAGTCGTGAACACAGCCGAGCAACGTGAGCTTCCAAAGGGCGAAATGGACATTTTGATGAGTGAGCCCTGATCTACGATTTAGGGTTTAGCGCCCCCTAAACCCTAAACTCTAAGTTTAGGGTTACTCAACAAAGAGCCAACTCAGACAGCCCAGATCTGTCAACAGCCCACAAGTTGAGCCTTGTTCCATGACATAACAGTACAGTACTGTATGTTAAGTATAGCACAAACCGTAGTCTAGTACCTTATCGTACCTGACGGTATAGTATCATCTTCTATAGTCCTTATACATCGTAGTATAATATCTAGTTTAGGCACCTGCCAGACCATGAGCGTGCTTAGCCTAAGTCAACTCGGCTACATGACAGCACCCACAAACCCCCAAACGAAGAGCTTTGGGCTAACGGGAACCAAATCCATGCAGAACTCTTCAACTCCTCAAGTTCCGAACCACAGGGGGAAGCCCTTCTGCAGAAAGCCCGGGGAAGGTCCAGTGCTCTTGCCTCGTTGTCCTCCGAGCTTGGCAAACTGCGCTCCAAGAGCAGCGGACAGCCGGGAACCCGGGTCGGGGCGATGACAACAGCCATGATGCTGATGATGAGAAGGATGAGAAACTGAAAGCGGGGCGTGGAAATGCCCAAGAAACTTGCCGGCTGAGCTGGTGTTGACGGTGCTGCTGCTGGTGCTGACTGGCAGTATAGCGAGGGTGCTGCTTATGGTCACCACTGTGATGATGCCGACTGTCGACTGGTCCTGTTCCTGCCCCCGCTGCTGCTGCTCCTCCTGCTCCTCGTCCTCTTCCTCCTACTCCTGCTTCTTCTCCCAGGGTTGCCCCAGCTTGTCTTCGAACCAGGTGCGAAAAGCTCATACTTTCGCATGTTAGCATTGTTGAACATGGCGTCCCCATTCTGATGATATGCGGAGCAAAAATCGCAAAAAAAAGCTCGATGTTTCTGCGCGGCCGATGTTCTTGGTTTTGACAGGGAAGCGCAGCGGCAGGACGGGATGGAGGCTTAAGGCCAGGTTCTGCGCAATGGGTGCTTTCACCCTGGCTTTGAACAATGTTGGACAGCATGGCACGGCCGATGCTTTCGCATGTTGGCATTGTTCAACATGGCCTTACCGTTATGTGATATGCGCAGCAAAAGATGCAAAAAACAATAAACGATGTTTCTGCGCGGAAACAGTTGTTGACAGATAGTTTGGGCATGGATGCACTGGCCGATGGGTGGGTTGGTAGCATGGACGTTATCATGGTTAGGGCATGGATGCACATGCCAATGGATTGGTTGGTTGCATGGACGTTATCATGTTTTGGGCACGGATGCACTGGCCAATGGATGGGTTGGCAGCATGGACATAGCATGATGCAGACCTGAGCGACAGAGAAAGCGGGGCAAACTAGGGTGATGGAGTGATGGAGCCCACTCCCAGTACTATTACCACCACCACCACCACCACCACCACTGCCGGGTGTTCCTGCTGCTTCTGAGCATGTGGGCTGTGTTGTTGCAATCTCCGCTACCCTCTAATCACTAGTCACGGTTGGCCTGAGTCTTTGTAGATCCTGTTGCTGGACTACTGAGTCACTCCAGAATATGCTCTGACCGCCGTTACGACAATAATTTTCACGAATTTGACTCCTACGAGTGCTCCTATGAAATTTTTAGCGAGCAGCCAGTTTCATGCACCCATCGTGAACCATGGCCGTCATCTACTTCATCGCCCCAGTCAGTCCGGTAATGTTGCTTTTTCTGGCGGCCATTCTCCCTGATCCGGTGGGCGTCACTATAAGGCTTGTCCAGGAGCTTTGTTTAAGTTACCATAGTAGGGAAAACATGTCTTTATCCATTAAAGCATCACTGCTGTGGT